GCCCTTTGAGACCTTTCTTTCTTTTTGAGTAGGACTTCTTAGTCTATACCCTAGCCAATCCATTTTAGAAAGGGATAATATATGATCATTAATCGAGAGTCTTCTCGGGCTCCGGCCTGGGATGTAATTAACTACGGGGGCTTGCGCCCGTGGGAAACTTGGCCCCACATCTAATAAATCCCATCCGAGCTGATATATCAGGTGGGGGAAACCCGTTCTGATCAGGTCGTGTATATTACTACCCATCAGGGTGTGTTGGCGAGAGCCTCTATCCTCAATGGTTAGTCGTATGTACGGTCTAATATGTCCTCCCATCGACCTGTTCGTGTCGAGTGTAAAGGCCTACGATCGTTTTGTCCCACGGGATAGTGCGGTCGTACCCTTAGCGTTCAGACCCCACGAGCGGTGCTCTTTCGGAGGTCACATGCACCACATGTTCATCATGCCCAAGAGTCACTTTGCTCCCATTTGTTGATTAGTTGGTTGAATGCCATAAGTGATCTTTAAATCTGTTGCTTATCATTCATGGATGACTATTGCTTGTCGATGCTTGCTTTCATGAGATTTACATGAATCAAACCATTCTTAATTAGGATTTGCATCCACATTAAAGTGATAACTCCTTATCATTCCATAAGAGTTTGGATGCCATTATTCAAATCAAACTCTTGTTCCTCATCATTTTTTGTTCAAATTCAAATTATGTTCAAATTCAAGCTTACAAGTTCAAGTTCAGATTTAAGTCAAATTTGAATCTCATATAATGTTGTTCGTCATCATTTGTTCAATGCCAATTTCCTTGAGTCAAGCTCAAGTTCACAAGTCTAGCTTGAGTCCAAGTTTAAGCTTGAGTTCAAGTCCATTGTCATTTTGGTTCAAGTTCAAGTCCTTGTAAACTTTGGTCCACAATCAAGTTCACTTTTGCTTGTTCAAGTTTTGTTCAAATATTTGTGATTGTTCAATCCATTTAATATTCAAATTGAGAGTTCAAATTTAAGTCAAATATGTTCGATCAAGTTCAATAAAAGTCCTTTATGATTGCCCAAGTCTCCCATATCTTCAGTCGAAATTTCGGCAGCCTCCCGACGTCTCCCCTGTTTAGGGGAACAACCAAAAGGCAACCTTCCCCTCCATGCGACATGAGCGCTTCAGGTAGATGTTCGTAGACACTGCGGCTGCATTTTCTTCAATCCCTAAGACACTACATGAGCGCTTAAGGGTCTTCGGTACCTGTTGAAAAGAGCACAGTCGTTTCCCCACATATGAGTTTATTTTTATCCACCTTCACGGTACATGAGCGCTCCGGGGATTACCCACCTCATCGCAAGTGTCGCACCGATTTTTCTCCTCTCGTGATATGTGAGCGCGTGGGGAGGTTTGTTGGCTCATCGCAAGCCACGAGAGAGGTATTTTCAAGTTAGAAAAACCATTGCAAATGGACTGGCAGTGCTGGATAGCTGATCGAGGCAAGAGGAGGGATAGGCACATGAATCGAGGCAAGAGAGAGGCATGCTTCCTTTCTCTTCCCTTTTTTTGAATTAATTATAATTAATATTAATTAATTATAATTAATTAACAAATTATTTTTAATTAATCACTTATAATTAATTAGAGTTTATCAGCAGTGAACTGTTGTTCCTTCTGATCAAACAAGAAGGGAAAGTAGTACTAGGAGCAAGGCCGAACAGCCACGAAGAGTCGGAGAAGCACGCATGAGGGAGGAAGTTACCCTCACGGCTAGTGAGCTCGCGTCGTTGCTTCTGATCAAAATGACGTAACTTCGATCCCTCAGGAAGGGAAAGTCGTCGAAGGGACGGAGTCCGACAACCGCGAAGGAATCAAAGAAGCGCTCGGAAGGGAGAAATGATCTTCACAACGTGCGAGCTCCAGTTTTTGGTCCTGATCAAAGTGTCGTAGCTTCCGATTCGTTGGGAATGGAACGTCGTCGAATGGGCGAAGTCGTCCAGCCACGAAGGATCAAAGAAGCACTCGTGGGGGTGGGGGGAGTCGAAAAAAGCAAGAGAGCGAGGGAGGCCGAAGGCCTCATCTCTTCCCCTTTTAACGACACAAGCCGGTCGTGGGGAGAAGCGACGTCAGAATGGTCTCGATGTGCGAATGACGTGCAAGCGTGATCCGGGGCGACGTGCGCTGCTCAGGTACGATGCTTTCTCTTTTTTTTTTTTGCCACAGCATACAGGTCAACAAAAGGTTTTTATTTAACTTTCTTATATTCAAGTGTATCATATTAACAAAGGTAAAGTAGACTCCAAATATAAAAAAAAAATCAAAACCAAAGATCTTTAGCAGTAGAAATTATATATTTAATAAAATTAACACGCATAAAGATAGGTCCAACAATGTCAGGATGTGGGCTCCGAAAATTCGCGCCCCGGCCTCCACGCGATCGTATATTGCTTTCGGGTGGAGTTTTAACAGAGTAAGTTCTGGGTAAATTTTCAAAAGGCAGATTGGATTTGAGGATAAGACACTACCCAGAGATTTCACCCTCATTTTGCGAGGACTTTATGATCTGAGTTTTGGTTTCATATAGGCGCAAGCCCCTATAGTTAATTACCCCTCTCGATAACGAGAAAACTTTCAATTAAAGCTAGTCATTGATGAATACATCGTACCTATAAATACGCGATATCTGGTATATAATAGCAACATTAGTTTGGTATTTGAAAATTTGATACATAAAACTTAAAATTTTCACCATCTTTCACGTAAAGCAGGTGGTGGGGGAAGTGATGATGAGCCCGATCAAGATCCCATGGTTCCGTCATCCCAGGCTGTCATGGTCCCTGGTCTACTTAGTTAGAGGAGGTACTCTACTGAACCTGACAAAAGGATCCTTGTCAGCAGCCATGGGTTGCATCGTACAAGAGTAACTTGTAAACCTGGGAAATATGTTTGTGTAAGGGGATAAATTTGAATCCACCTTAGCTGATAGAGGGCTTTGTGCCCTGTCGATCATATCATATTGATTAATATCTTAAGGATTTAGTGCTATTGGGGAACATACGGCCTCTGACTATGATGATAATATAATGGTGTCATTTGGCAGTGAACCACCCAGTACAGAGGGTCCTGATCATAATCATTTACCTGTGGCCGTATTAACGACGAAAACGTAGGTGTGGTGCCATTTGACGGCGAAACCACCAGTTAGAGGACATGTGTCACTTCTTTACTGGCAAGAGATAGATTGAGAATGAATCCTAGAGATATTCTCAACTAGACATTAGCACATTAGCTATTTGTGAGCTGAAGTAGTTTTCAGATTTATCCACCTCGGCATTCGGCAAACTGTTGCAGAGAGTGGATGCGTGTTTGCTTTAAGTTTTTGACAATTTATTTTGATTTTAAATATCTTGAATTTGAATGATTATTTGGAATCTTGAATTTCATGGGCATTTGGAAGCCCTTTGAATATTTGTGATACCCTCGAGTTGAGATTTTATGTCAGCACAACCATTATCGAGATATTTATGAACATTTTGTTTCGTTGATTGAACTTTGTCGACTCTTTCTTCTTGCAGACAGAGAATCAGATTTGAATCTTAATTCCTTCTTGATCCGCGTAACCTCTTCAAACATCATGCTTACAACACGCTCATTAGGGCTCACACGGATATTTTCCATTGGGTGCATTTCATGCGACGCATTCACATGTGTACATGATACAATTTTTGGAATGTAATTATAATGTCAAATGACTTACTAAAGTGAAACCCTCTGCTCATATAGGAGGTTCTTTTAACATGCAAGAGCGATGTTAGATGACATGCCTATGCTCTGTGAGTTGAGACACACAAATGCAACACATTAACATGTAAATGTAATGTTGTATGATATGCTTATATAACTTATCATACATATTGCAATGTATGTATGAGAGGCATTTAAGATATTTACATGCAATACAAAGGCGTGTCCGACTGCATGGGCGACTATTACTGCAGATTGAGCGGGGCTTTATTTCGTGCTTTGTTGATGCCTTCTATCTACTCATATGAGTGTTACGGATTCGATGGTGCGACATTGCACTTTAGCGGCCCGTGTTTTTACTAATAATTCTCTGATTTTGCTTACAATTAAATCGTAGCGTTGTTATCCGACTACCGCAAGACACCTTATTGTTCTGATGTAGGCTCCCTTTTCTTATTCTTTGGGAGATTGGATCTACGAATCAATCGACCCTTATTTGGATTAGATAAACACGTTTAAATGACATGAGTTCAATTTGTGATAGATGATGTATCATAAGCTGATGAGACCAAAGGCTCGGTTGATGTCTTGTTGGTTCTCCTTGTCTTTAGTTCGCCATAAGATATTGTCCTCGAAGCATGAACAGGACAAAGTGCCAGATTATTACAATGTCTCAGAGACATTCTAGTATTTGATATGCACATGGCGCATGGAAGTTTCTTCTTATGGCTTCATAATGGTATGCTCAAGGAGACCGTTTTATGCATTTGTGATGCACATATAGACATCAGATTGCGAGGCTTTATCTTCGGGCTTTCACTCGAATGGCACGACATATTTTTCGAAAACCTCGATATTTTTGACGAGATGATGGAATGAGACGTTTTCTCTATCCTTTCTTTTCACGTGCTCATTCTTTGACTCTACAGAATCATTTATAAAACCATTTGACTTCGCGCGGTTGAAGTTGTAATTGGGCCCTTCAGCTGGCATCGAGCCAATGGGATTCTTAAAGCTCCTTGCATACATTTGTAGTTGTTGGAAGTCTCCAATATCTCTGTAGAGCTGATAAGATGAAAGATCATTTCAACTGATTATTCTTTGAATCTATAGAATCATTCAATTATGTATTCTCCACATCACAGTTAGGATCTTCCTTTGATGCTGTATCAGCGAATCTTCTCCGTACATCATGTTGCCTCTATACCCAACATGCTTGCAGCTTCTCAATCATCGCTGATGTAGGTGCTCGTCCAATGCACTCATCTGCATGTTACTGTTGATCACCAATGACTGTGGGTCTCCAAAAGGATGCTACTGCCGGATGTCAGAATGCAAAGGGTACAATGCACTATCTTGTAGAACAAAACAGTCGTAGGTCTTTACACTCTACGCAAGCAGGCCAATGGGAGAGCAGATAGAGATATACGATTATTCATGGAGAATAACGACTTTCGCCTACACATCTAGATGGATAATAATATGTATAACTGAATGGGATTTATTTGATGTGGTTATCGATTTTCCACTAACACAAGCCCCCGTAGTTAATTACATCTTAAGCCTTGATCAAAGAAAACTCTCGATTAAAGATGTTGTATTATTATATTCTTAGTTTTGTGCATTGAGGAGGTTCTTAGGTTCTATTTCGAAGAGAATAAGCTCTTATCTTTATCTGTAGTGATGATTAGATTCTTTTTTATACATATAAATATATGATTAAAAGTTTGAGTTTAAAAGATCAGATATTGATTTAACATCTAAGAATGAACTATAGATTTAAGACTCGCTTATGATTTAAATAAGACACACTGAGGGGTGTACAATCTGGGCTTATGATTGCCTAAAGTGAGCTGGGAGCTAACATTCTAAACAAAATCAATCGGCCTATATATGCAAGATAAGAAGGTTCTATCCTAAGAAATCAAAGATTTTAGTTCAAAGATTTAAATCAGGGATGCATAAAATATACAAATAAATTTACCTAGCGTCATGTATGATGATGCATGAAACAAATGCATAAATAAAACTTTGTATTCAGTTCTTTGGAACATACATACCACTCAGGATCTGCAACAAAATAAGGTGGTCAAGCTCCACCACAACAAACCTGATTTTCTACTCCTATGTAATATATAAATTTAAATGTATTGGCTTATCATCTTCTAGCTCTGGAATTTTTTATAGAATTCCAAAAGGAAATACCCTCTAAAAGAGAGGGAATTATCTTTTGGAATCATATGTGTGTATATAAGTAAATACCTTTAAACCTTTACAACTCTTGACACATTGTATTTACATTTGACTCTTTGCATATAATTCCATGCCTATATACATTGTACTTTGAGTTTTCTTTTACAAACATCTTAGAGACATTCTATTTTACTCTTCTTTTTGCAACAAAAAGGATAACAAATAAATATGCATGTACAAAAAAAAATGCATGTCATGACATTCAGAGTACTGAAAGTAAATAAATACACCAAGGATATCCTTCGGACAAAGGTACTCGCATCACACAAAAATACACTAACGGCCTAGCCTAAGGCTAGAGTCAGTGATCCTAGCAAACAAATTCTAATGTGTAAAATGTCGTGTGTCGTTGATGTCCTAGGAGATTTATTGTTCAAGTTATTCAAATTTGAATTATTTGTTGGTTGTAGGCCGAGTAAGGTATTGATTTGAATTTAAATTTTGCTATGTGAAAATGTTATTAATGTTTTTGAAATTAATTAATGATTTATTAAATGTCTTAGGACACAAAATTTATGAATCCAATACATATATGCTCTCTAAAATGAATCAAGCATAATCTATGAAGGATTTAAAATATTTTTTTATTTATTATTGATTTCAATGAATATTTTTTTAAATTGAAGAGTAATCACCTTTGTTAAACAAAAATTATGTGATTTATTCACCCTCATGAGGGCTAACTTAATAGCCTCGTAAGCCCGGGATACATAGTAATTAACTTGGTTAAATATATTTAATTTTTTATCAAATTTTAAATCTATTTAAATTTATTAGAGATTTATTCAAAACTTTATAATCCAATGCAATTGTGCCTTCCTAAAGGAGGTGAACACAATATATGAAAGTCTTTATCTTATTTAAATTTTATTAAATACCGTCTAAATCCAATGCATATGTATTTTCCAGCATGAGTTGAATACAATGCATAAAGGTCTTTTGTTATCTACAATTTAGTAAAGACTCATAAATCCAATGTTAATATGCCCTCAAAAGAGTCGAACATAAAGCATGAAAGGACCTATAGTTATTTGTTTAGTATTTAACTAATGAATTCATTTAATTAAATCAAGATTAATTATGTTAATTATAAAGTCTTATTTTATTTGAGATGATTAAAACTAGATTTAATTAATGTTATTTAATAGTTTAATAATTTAATTTTATTTAGAATATTATTAACATTTTATTTTTCCTGTTTAATAATTTATATAACACTACCATTGCCAGGTCCCAAGTCCTGGATGAGAAAAGTGGAGGATTGCGTTAGGTAGTCGATAGCCAGCGTAAAATTTATCGAATAATAATGACATGAATCCTTTAAGAAATGGTGTTAATGCTAGGGCGTCCCCTGGAAGCGACGCGCTGTATGGCCTGAATACAGTGACAAGTGTGTAAGGGCCGCTGCACCGGCGCCCGGGTGCAGTGTTAAATAAGCAAGGGTTCCCGCATCAAGGACGGATGTGGGCAAAGAAGCTAGTCCGAGAAACTAAAATTAGAATAGAAACTTGGAATATAGGTTTCCTTACTGGAAAATTAATGGAATTATTAGATATTATGATTCATAGGAAGATAAATATTTTGTACATTCAGGAAACTAAATGTGATGGAGAGAAGGCTAAGGAAATTGATAGTTTATGATTTAAACTTTGGTATTCGGGTAGGAGTCGTACTAGAAATGGTGTAGGTGTTATTATAGATAAGAGTTTGAAGGATAATGTTATAAAAATTAATAGGATTGGAAATAGAATTATAGCTTTAAAGATTGTTAATATTATAAGTGTTTATGCTTCTCAAGTAGGTTTAGATATGAGTTCTTTTTTTCACTTAGTATTGAACAACTGTGCTATTCTTAACTTTTCTTTGGGTTAGTTTTTGTATTCTTGATAGCATTTCTGCATTCAAATATCAATTTCAAAATAGATTAGTGTATCTTTCTCATCTTAGTTTTAGTTATTATTCAAATATCAATTTCATTTAGAGTGGTGTATATCTGTCATCTTAGCCTTAATTAGTTAATTAATCAACTTGATTCAAATAGATCATCCTCCTTTCATCATTTGCATTCCCTTGGTTCACGAACAATCCACTTCTGAACTAACAAGATGATTTATGATTCATTAATGATGATGCTTGACATGGTTTAAAGGTTACAATCTATTTGAATCACGATGTGATCATTCATACAAATTTATGAAAATCCAGGTTTTCTATGATGTTCGAACCTTCACTTGAGGGTGTTTTCGATGGTTAATATTCCATAGTTAAATTGTTTATATGCAGGTTTCTCCCCATCAATTGGTGGAGATGGCATTTCACGTTACCGCACAGATTTCCATGAAGTAGAGGTAAAGTTATTTAATTTTTGTAGATCTTTCAAAGTTTCGCTTCATGAACTTATCTTTTTTATATTAACATGCTTTTTATTGATCAAAATATGTTCCTCAGCAAATTGGCAGTGGAAATTTTAGCCATGTTTTCAAAGCGTTAAAGCGAATAGACGGTTGTCTTTATGCTGTGAAGCATAGTATAAAGCAATTCCATAATGACATGGAAAGGTTGTTAACTCTAGCTTAACATCATTAGTTAGTGACATCTTAAATTATAATGTGATCTTTTGATCTGGCAGGAAGTATGCATTGAGGGAAGTTCAAGCTCTAGCAGCCTTAGGTGTGTTTTCTTTAGCAGCCATACTTTTTGCATTAAAATTTTGAAGGATTTACATAACATTCTATTGAATTCTTATATATTTATTATACCTAACACTTAAATCTTTATATTTATTTATATAATATTCTAATCTTTCAATAACAAAAAATATCTATTTAAAATAAAGTAGGTATTTTATGTATATGTTTTGATATCCTTTAAACATTAGGTTGTTATATAAATATAAAAATTTAGATGTTAGTTATCTATATAAGAATTTAGTGATATGTATGTATATCCCCCAATTATTTATTGATATTGAAATATGCATATGTCAATCTATCCAGGTTATCATGCTAATATTGTTGGATATCATACTTCTTGGTTTGAAAATGACAAACTTTATATTCAAATGGAACTTTGTGACCATAGCCTATCGAAAGGCCACATACCGACGAGTGGAGATGTACTCGAAGTTTTATATCAGGTACGTTAATGGTCTTTTGCTTAATGTATTTAATTTAATTTTATTGTTTAAAGTCTACAATCTTTTTAATACTATTTTGAAGACTAAAAAGATGCCAGATGAGTGGAGAATGAGTGTGTTAATTCATATTTTTAAGAATAAAGGTGATGCACAAGATTGTGTGAATTATAGAGGAATTAAGTTAATGTGTCATACTTTAAAACTATAGGAGCGAGTTATGGAGCATATGTTGGGCGTGATACTAATGTTTCTCAAAATCAATTTGAATTCATGCCGGGTAGGTCGACTATGGAAGCCATACATTTATTAAGAGGTTTGATGGAGAAATATAGAGAAAATAAGGAGGATCTACATATGATATTTATTGATTTAGAAAAAGCATATGATAAAGTTCCAAGAGAAGTGCTATAGAGAGTTCTTGAAAAGAAAGGAGTTAATAATGTTTATATTCAAATCATTAAAGATATGTATGCAAGAGCGATTACTTGTGTTCAAATACAAGGTGGTTTGATCAAGTATTTCCCTATTTCGGTTGGGTTACATCAAGGATCAGCCTTAAGCCCATATCTTTTTGCTTTAGTCATAGATGTTCTCACTAGACATTTGCAAGAGGATGTATCTTGGTGTATGCTTTTTACTGATGATATTCTTCTTGTTGCTAAGACTAGAGAGGGAGTTGAAGGTAAACTTGAATTATGGAGGTAAACATTATAGACTAAAGGTTTTCGCTTGAGTAGTCTAAAACGGAATATATGGAGTGTAATTTTAGTAGTAATAGACCTAGTGAGCGGATTGTGACTTTGGGAGATCAAGTCATTAATAAGAGTACACGTTTTAGATATCTTAGATTTATTGTTCAGAGTGATGGTGAAATAGATGGGGATATTATCAGCAGAATTCAAGTAGAATGGTTGAAGTGGAGGAATGCATCGGGCTTGTTGTGTGATAGAAAAGTACCCCTCAAACTTAAAGGGAAAATTCAATAAGATGGTAGTGAGGCCTGCAATGCGTTATGGTGTTGAATGTTGGCCATTAAAAGAGAAGCATAATATTAAGCTAAGTGTGGCAGAGATGAGAATTTTCAGGTGGATGAGTGGCTTTACCCTTAGAGATAGGATACGGAATGAGCATATACGTGAAAAGGTTGGAGTAGCTCCAGTAGAAGATAAGATTAGAGAGAGTCGCCTTAGATGGTTTGGTCACATAAAATGGCGGCCTTCCAATGACCCGATTAGGAGAGTAGAGGTATTAGATTTGACTATGTTAAGAAAGGTAGACAACAGACCTAAAAAGACCTGGTTAGAAAATATTAGGAATGGCCTTTCTTTATTAGATTTAAACGAGAATTTGACCTTTAATAGGACACAATGGAGAAAAAGGATTCATGTCGACGACCCCACGTAGTGGGATAAAGGCTTGATGTTGTTGTTGTTATCGAGTGTGATAAAATGAATTTGTTCATGGTTAATTATCTTATCTTATTTTTGTTAGCATACCTATTTTATTAGCCCATTATGATTATATAAAAATCGAAAGGAAAATTTTAAGTGTGGATAATAAATCAATACTACGCATTCTTAGATTTGTCACTAACGAATAAAGTTATATTCACTAGCGGGCTTGGGGATTTGAAAAATTAAGTGCAGGGTTTCTACAAGGACCTAAATTAAAGGAACTCTAGTCACATACAAGGTTTAGAGGATCTAGGGGGCTCTAAGTTTTAGAATTTACCTCACCGGAGCTAGTACGGTGCAACCGAATGTAACACCTTCATTTAGAAAACATGGAGGCGACTGAATATTCTACCTTGTTGTCTGAATCTCTTCCACTATACCAGATTGTCATCTTTTAAGGCAGTCTTATTCAGATCTTGGTTTGCATAGAGGAGGAAGACTAGCAGCTTGTCGTCCAGCCTTCTCTTGGTTCCCTTGCTGAGCCGAACATGAGACGGAGGATTTGGAACCGACGGCGAGGGGGGCAGGGGACTGCCTAGGAGGGCCGCTGCGGGCTCCAGAAGAGCCGGGACGGGTGTGAGTAGGCATGAGTCTGGCTGGCTCTAGTTGGTGGGTAAGTTGGCGTCTAATGGAGCTGGTGGCCGGGGTGGCCTGGATGAGAAGACAGCTGGGAAGTGGCCGAAACTAAAGGGAGGGAGAGGTTCGCCCTCTCGCTTGTGAGGAAAAATCCAAGGAAGAGAACTGTTTTTCTTGGCTCTTTGATTTATAGCCAAGGTGAAATGGTTCGAATCAGTGCAAGCATTATAGTGACAGTGCAAGTATGATGGTGCTACAAATAAGTATAGTAGTGCTTGAGGTAAATTTCACAGTGCCACAAAAATGCCTTGTTGTCATAATCAAGAAATACAACTCAAGATAGACATCTTCTACTTCATGTATCTTATTTTGCTATTTGATCCTATATTATGCTTCCAGAACGTAAATGACAATGTAAGAAAACCTACTGTACTCTTCCCTAAACATATTTATGTGTGATCGTGGTTATAGGTGAGTCCATCTCACTCAACATTTTTTTTCTACTATTTTGAAGCTCTTTTTTCCTTGCAGTTTTTCTTTTCATAGTTGTCTTTTCTTTTACACCTACTTTTCCATGGCATTTAGATGAAGGGTCATACTTTGTTTCTTTGAGACCGTTTGCACCACTTTCAAAGGAGATAGCACGTGATTACTCTTCAAATCTATTCTTTGTTTCTAGAAACATAGTAATCATTGGCGCTTTGTTTTTTGTACATCAGACAAACCACATAAATGTAGTTGTAATGTATCATCACAGCTTCATACTCTGAGGATTTTTTTTTTCTTTGTGAGAAATAATAGCATTTAAAGTGCTATCGAATGTATTTTGATTCTTATTTTAAAGTGTTCAAATTTAAGACTGTTAGTAGACAAAGGCGTTGGCATATTCAGCTAGGAGTTTCACAACATGTGAGGTAGAAGTGTGATTGCATTGTGTTAGACATCAGCATATGAGATTGGATCTAAAAATCAGATACAAAGTATGGGCTACAAATATGACGGGACAAAGAAGAAGAAGGTACAAACACATTTCACAAAGCATAAATGACAAATAGGTTCACATATGTCATAAAACACTACTTTACTTCTTTTATTTTATTTTTAGATTTGTTTTAAATATACCGGTTCTATATTGAATAGTTGGTCTACCCAAGTAATGTAAATAACTCTCATATTGTAATGAAAGAATTATGGAATGAATAAAATTCTAGTTTCCTCTTTCTAGTCTCTATCCCATTCCCTTCTTCTCTAAGGAGTCTACATCTACTCGAAAGGTGCCCAAGCCTTTTCAATGTAGATCAAGAAGCATATCACATTGTCATTTAAGGTGGCACTATCATCTCAGTTTAAATATTGCTTACTTTATATTTCCTTTTTTTCAGATTGATCACGTAATTATGATGGAAACGCAGTTGTATAAGTTGCATAATCTGTTAATCAATAGTTTTCTATCACGATATTTTGGTGATGAAATAAAGATATTTTTCTCTGTTCTTTGTGATAACTGATAACTGTTTGGATTTCAAGTTGTCTCAAAGACATCAAACCATCTAAGCTAGATCAAACTAAATATAGCAATCCACAATTCAATTACAAGTCAAAATATTATGCATCGTTCCAATTTTGTGCCAATACTGGATCAGATTCAAATTGGATTTTAACAGCTCTATCTAATCTAACAAGAAGTTAAGAAGGATTGACTTCTTTCCCTTGAATAGAAAAGCAAAGGCACATACTCTGAGGGTGGGCGACAACAACCTGCCTCAACCGGGGACAGCTCTGCTGATTTGTATGCCTTAAGTGTCTGGATTAGAGCAGGACATGTTTAAGAAAAAAATCTTGATAAACCAGAATATATGTAGGAAATAAAATAAAGAATAGACCTTGTACTTGTTAGGCAAGTTATTACAGTCATCAGACTTCACAAGGCAGCTCTTCAAGCGGTCCCAATTTTTGGTATTGTTGAGCTTCAATGGGCATATTGATGCATAAGCAGATGTTGAATTCGTGCATTAGAGTATAACAAGAAAAATATTTCTATAGGATATCGTGAATCAAATTTTGTTAGAATGGATTTTATAACTATTGAATTTGCTTTGAGATAAGTGCAATATAAAGTTGGATTGATTAACCATGTATTGCATTTATCTCAAAGCAGATCGAAGAGTTCAAAAATTCATTCTGATCAAATTTAAGTTGGAATATTCTAATCAAAATTTACTTTTTTTTCCTAAAAAGGAATGTAAAACTAGAAACAGTGCAAAGCCCTCACCTGCTTTAAGAACCAAGCGCTGTAATCTTGAAGATGATACTCTTTGAACCTGGAAAAAATAATTAAAATAAAAAATATCTACAAACAAAAATCCATATAGCATAGTAAAGAAAATATTCCTTTCCAATTATAATATGAGAAAGTAATGAAATGGCTCGCAAAGTCTCTACACAATCAACTAAATTACATTGCAGTTTGCACGTGAAAGAGAAAATGGATACACTAAAATGTTATAATGGCAGTAATAGCATGAATACGGCCAATTAAAAATCCACTAGATGATGCTTCAATAGAATGCCATCAGCTTAAAAGGAAATGTTATTTGAAGTATGAAAATTCATCTCTACAGAAGTTGAAGCCCATTGTGAAGATCAGAACTCCTAAAATATGTTGGGACATGGGCATATGCGTCAAAAAGATTTTGAAAGCTGCAGACGATTCAAGATGGCCAAAATCCCAAAAAATAATGAATAGCATTTTGTACACAAAATGACAAGATATTTAAAAATATCATGATAATGAGAATAACATGAACACGTCAAATGAAAAGTTCCACTTTATAGTACTTCAATAGGTGCTATAAACCAATTCGAGTTCCTCACGCAAACTCCCCATTGCACAAGTCGTACGAGCAAGCAGGCCGCCTACAATCCTCCCTTTTGATTCATCAACCGTAATCTTAGCATGATTTTCCGGCCCTTGGCTTTGCCTCTCTTGTCATTTAAGGAGAAGAGAACCTAGGCATCATTCTTACCCTTCTTCCTCCTCTATCACAATAGCCTCAAAACCCTCCTTCCTATTATTTCCGCAACAACCACCATTGAATCCCTCTTTTTCTTCTTACTCTTGAACCGAGAGTGAGTCTTCCCCCTTCATTCTTTCCAGTCGGCCAAGATCATTCCACAAGAGTAAGTTAATATTATTATTATTATTTTTTAGGTTGGATTGGTGGCATTAGATCTTAATTGATTATACTTTCATGATTACATATTTTTCTTATTCGTAATTGTAGGCTCTCATTCTAGGTTGCAATCTAATTCATAAATTATAAAATCTTGGTTATTTAGATGCATTCGTCGTAATTGTTTTTCACCTCAATTATTTAGGCTTGACTAATGATATTCAATATATGTATTTAAGCTCAGGTTGTGTAAACTTTATGTTTCAAATATTGGAGTCTTTCCATATTATTTTTCCTATTAAATTATGATTCTTGTTTGTAGAATTTTTTAGCCGTTGTCCTCATGACATTGTCGGTTAATCATCATATAGATTTGGAGCTTTATGTTGATCATGTAAAAGTAAGTAACTATTATTTATTATTGAATAAATGTAACATTATTTGTTAGTGGTGTAATGCGCGCTATTTGTATTAAGAATTTTGGATCATTGATTAGATTGCCAGTCCTATTAGTATTGCAAAATTTATTGATTATTTGCAAACACTTGTCAATATCTTTTTATGCTCATAACGAACTAGCAAGTTTCATAGATAAATTATTCTTGATTTATTGTTGCACAAACTTTTGTATATCGATTTTTTTTATTTATATTGTTATGCACATATATTGAATGCAATAAATGTTATATTTGTAAATCATCTCTTATTATGAAATAACATTCGTCATATTGAAATTGTAACACCTGTTGAAAAGTGCATATAAAAATTTGGAAAACTATATGCATATGTTCAATGGAGTGTAGGTCAGTAGAACACTATTGGATATTTTCTAGCCGGGCTACGGGCTCTCAGAGTGACGACAAAATAAGAAATTATTGGATTTCCTTGGGATGGTGTTTACCTTCTTGATGCAGGATATTTGACAAAAATGACTATAGTTATTTAAATATAAATGTGTGGATATAATTAGACATGAGTTAAGCAATGAATGACAAATGGGCATATAGTGGTAATAAGAAATTATTGGACTTCCTTGGGTTAGTGTTTACCTTCATGGTGCAGGGTATTTGAAAAAATCGACTATAGTTATTTAAATATAAATGTATAGATATAATTAGACATGAGTTAAGCAATGAATGACATATGGGTCATATAGTGGTATGATGAAATCTAGCATAACTATATATGCATAAATCAGATTGACATTGCATTAGTTATAGGTCGGCATGCATAATTGTAATAACAATATACGATAGCCATTGTAGGAATCATAACATGTGATATTATTGCATGAATACATTCATTGTTGTCTTATACTCTCACTTGTTGATTTGGTCATATTGCATGCCTTATTCTTTTGTTGTTTATGCTTTAATAGACAAGGATTATTGAGTTTAATTTATCAAAATCACCCTTGGTTACTTTTATTCATAGCAGTTCTTATCGAAGTGCTTAGTGGACCTTCATTATAGAAGCAAACCAATTAGTAGTAGACAAGGTTTAAATTTTAAAATTGCGTAATTAAGCCTCGAGGCGGTTTTCGTCGGTGAGGCGAGGCGTAAGCCTCAAGGCGGTCTGAGGCGTAAGCCTCACGGACACAGAATTGCGTAAATGAGAAATTAATGGTTCTTCTTACAATAAAAAAAAAACATAAACCCTAGATTTTCTTACACTTGAAAAATCTAACCCTAAACTAAAAAAAAAAACTAAAATCCAATGTGGAGTACTCCTAGAGGGTGGCCGGAAGTTTCAACTTCGCCGGAGAGAGGCGGCACTGGCGGGAGAAGCAGCGGGAAGGGAAGCTGGCGGGTAAGGACCGTGCGGGAGCTCTCTGTTTCGCGAACTGGAGCCGTGCGGGTAGGAAAAATTCGGGAGGAGCTGCTGTTGTGCGGGTTTAAGGAGAAAAAAACATTCATTTTAAGTGGGTGGGTTCATTCCCATGAGGCGTACGCCTCACTAAGAATTGCGCAATTGCGCCTCTGAGGCGCGCCTCAGTCCATGTGAGGCGTACGCCTCTGCCAGGGATGGAATTGCGTAAGCTTCGAGGCGGTTTTTGGACGAATTGCGCAGAGGCGCGCCTTGCGCAATTTTAAACAGAGGTAGTATAGTATATTTAGTATTTTACAATTTGTGGCAGATTGTTATGTATTTGCTTTTGAGGATTAGATAGTTTCTTTCCTGGCATTTATGTCATTTGCATTCCTTTTGCATGTAGTAACCTTATTTATTTGACGTACTATTTTTGAATTCATAATAATGAAATGAAATATCTGTTTCTCTTCCGTTACCTAATCTGATACATTATTTTGTATTACATGTTTATACACTTTACTTCTTATAAGTATAAAATAGGTCTTTCTATTCCTTCATCAACCATCACGTCCCGTATTGTCGGGATGTACCAACTTTTAGACCCGAGGTGTGACAATAGAATGCCTTTAATTTCAAATAATATCGTTACTTGAAATATGAAATATCAATTAAAAATGTTGAAGACAATTGATACCAGACTGCTGAAATTATATTCAGAAATGGGAATATGCTTCAAAAAGATTTTCGAATGCTGCAGATGATTCAACATAACCTAAATCCTCAATATAGTGAATAACAAGTAGCTTAGTCTTAATTTCAGAATGCATTCGAGTCACATGAATAATTGTATTTGCAATAAGAACTGTAGATTTACTTTATTCCAGACACAGCATGCCCAGATCCACTGTTTGTTATGATAAACCTACAAAAAAGTAAGGTAAAAATTTTAGGGTTCAATTAGAAAGCATAGATGATTTGCCAACTTGAACAAGATAATAACTTCAGAAGAAGAATGACAAAGTCATCACAATCTAAAACCACCACACAGACGGAACACTACCATACAACTAATGGGGCCCATATCAATGATTGATAAAGTTCAATCAGATCTGAAATAATCAAAGTTAAATCATTAAAGAAAATCATATTAAATGAAGAAAAAATATCATCTAAGCGTAAATAAAATAAAATTTGCCTGACATGAGAGATGAGATATCACGACCCAGCCCAGTGAGCTCGCGTAGGCGAGGCGGGAACAGAGGTCGGACGGTAGACTAAACTATCACCTTAACATTTGAAATGAGAGATGAGAGATGAGAGGCAAGGTGACTTCTGATTTCAAATGAGGAATCAATTTTTTCCTACTCTTACTTTCCTCTCTTTGATTCTTCTTTTTTTTCCTCTCTTTACTCTAATCCTTGCTATCATAAGTTAAAGGAATGATTAGTGGAAAATTAAGGCATACCAATTAAAAGGAATTTTCAAGAATAAACAAAAGCTCCAAATTCATAATAAAAAGAAAA